TACAGAAAAAAAAAATATATGTATTCACAAATTGGAAGACACTAGAAACCAGATTCCTAGAAAAAAAGAAGAATGAATGGAATAGCTACAGGTCCAGGCAGCTTACCAGAGTAATGTGCCTCTAGGCACAACTACTTTCTTTCCTTTGACTCACCCCTCATATCAACCCTCTTTCCTTTTGAGTACAGCACAGGCTCACATACCAAAATAACGTTTSGTACTACCTTAACCCTTAAAGTTCAAGCTCAAGGCAACTCAAATCTGTCTTGGAATCCTGAAAATAAATTTACCTTCAGTCTCATATGAAGTAACAATATGATTTTTGTATAATTGTTTAAGTAAAATATCTAGGGCCACAAGAGCGGTCTGAAAGTATAAGCTTTTAGCCATTATTTATCCCAGACACTTTTAATTTGCTTTTTAGATTCCTAAACCTTTCAAAAGTCAATTTTCAAAATTTCTCTTAAAAAAAAAAAAAAGCAATGATAATTTCCTGGTTCTGCAATAGCTCAATAGCTAAGGAATTCAGTCATTTGTGCAGACAGATCTTTGAGAAAATTATCTCCACTGGAATAAGTCTGTGAGAAACTATAAATGGAAAGGATGATTTTGACCTGAAACAGTTTCAGTTCATGATTGCTGGAAAAAAAAACATATTTTGGAGGTCTCTACTTATTTATGTTCATCACAATTGACAACTTTTCATTATTCTTTTAAATCAAATTATATCATACACTTCTCGTTCCATAAGCTGATTACTTCTCTTTTCACATAGACGTGTGTTGCTCTCTGTTTAGATGTATGTTGCTATTTAAAAGCCAGAATATCAATTATGATCAATAAAAGTGAGTAGAAGGAACTGCTGAGATGGTATATAGGAATTGCTTTGCCTAGGCCAGCTCTAACTGACTCAGCTAGTGTATATTTGCTTTGATACAATCTCAAATAAAATAGAGAAAGGCCCTGAGCCATACATTACTGGAGTTCTTTTTTTCCTTCAAATAGAAAAAAAACTCCCACAATTCTAAATTCAGAGCTACTGTATTAAACCATAGATGCCTGCATGTGGACATCTGACATTTGCAAGATTGAAGCAGAACTTTTTAAGCATCAAAAGTCTTAAAAGATCAAATGTTTAAGGAAAATTGTCCTTCAACTCAGTGGGAATGGTTGCTGCTTCTAGAAGCTTTATATTCTCTGTCTGTCACTGACTTGCAACTCAGAGCTTCAGAGTAACGTGGTATGCAGCTTTCAGCAAAAACTAATCTTCAGTCAGTCCCAAGATTTTTATATTCACAGTTAGCAAAAGAAATCAAAATTAATAATTTTGTATTCCATAAAGTTATTTACCAAAGGAAAACAGAAAAGTGGCATTTTTTCTCTATGATGCATGCACATCATAAAAGATTCCACAGCTTTCTGTATTTTCTGAGCTTTAGCTGCCTGGGTCAGTGTACAGTAGCTGCAGTTTGCACTCTACAAGGTAAAAGTGGAAGTGCAGTTTTTCCCAGCTGTGACACTATCACATCCATCTGAAGATGTTTGGCTCCACTGCTAAAATCAGTGACCTGCTTTTAAGGCCCAGATGTGGCCTCTGCTTTGGCAGGTGAAATGTCATGTCTGCAAAAGAAAGAAGTAATCAAACTCTCTACTCTTAGTGATATACCAGTGGAAAATATATTGATGTTCTACAGATGTACTGTTGGCTTCCCTTTGTCTCTTCCTAATGTCTCTATGTGTCCCTGCTTGAGCAAGGGGGATGGAGGAGGTGATCTCTAGAGTTCCCTTCCAACCTCAACCATCCTGCGATCCTGTGTGTTTCTGTGAAAATCGTCTCTAAAATAAAATAAAAATTATGCAGTGTATCAGTTGCCACACTAGTTTTAGAAGTGGATAAATTATTTTAGAGAGAGTACTGTGCAAAAATAGTAGTTATTAAACATTTGAAAGTTCAGGAAGGCGTTACAGAAATCTTCTGTATGTTCTGTAACTAAATGATCTGTTTCTTTAATAAAATAAATGAAACATATGTTATAAAAATTAATACAATCTGAAGTTGCTGATTCTTTTTTTTCTATTTTTAAAGAAGTGTTATTGTAGGGATAAAGGCCATGAAGTGATCCAAACCCAAAAGAGGTATTGTAACTATTGTCAGTAAAAGAAAAAAAAAAGAAAAAAACAAAACAAAAAATCACCTTTTCCAATTTCACATTTTTTATGCATAAAGCATAATCTATAGGATCAGAAAATAATTCAGTTTGGAAAGGACCTCTGGAGGTCACCTAGTCCAACTTTCTGCTCAGAAGAGATTTACCTTCCATGTTATATCAGGCAAGCTTTGAAAAACTCCAGAGATGGAGATCTCCCAACTCTGACAGTACCCGAGTATCCTCATTGAAAAGACTTTTTTTTTTTTTTTTTTCTCATTCTCCATTGAAATTTCCCTTATTGAAATCTGCAGTTGCCTGTAGTCCTTTCCCTGTGTATGTCTGAAGAGAGCTGAGCTCAGTCTCCCCTATCAGGTTGTGGAGACTGCAATTAGATGCCCCCAACAGCCTTTTCTCCAGGGTGAACAAACCAGCATCTCCTCATGAATCACGTGCCCCAGACCTTTGACCATCTTAGCTGCCCTCAGCTGGGCTTTCCTCGCATGGTTAATCTCTCTCTGGCACTGGGGCACCCCAAAACTGACTTTGTGTTCTAGATATGGACTTACTAGTGCTGTGTAGAGGGGAAAAATCTCTCTTGCTGCCCTGCTGCCTATGCTCCTACTGATGCAGTCCTCCATGCGCTGGCTGTCGTCGCTGCTGACTCACGTGCAAGCTCTTCCCATGTGCAGTGCTGGTTTCCAGCTAGGCAAGTCCCCAGCCTGAACTGCCTCGGCGGGCTACTCCATCCCAGAGGCAGGACTTTCATCATTTGTTTCTGTTGGACTTTTATGAACTTCCTGTTGACCCACTGCTTTGTCAGCCCACATAACAAGACTTGCAAGAGTTTGCAGCATTAAGTCTATACTTGCAGATCACTCTCACCATCTCACTGTTTGAGAAACTTAGCTCAGTCAGATCCAAGGTACTTCACATAAAATACAGCAAGGGTGATTTTACATCCTTTCATGATTTAAGAGCACATCATAGATTTCGAATGCAGTTGACAGTCCACACTACTATTTAATATAAAGTAGCCATAGGCAGAGAGATAAAAATGGACACCAAATATATGGACACTGTATATTTTTCCTGTCCATAAAGACCTATTTCCTACTCCCAATGAATTCGAAATGGGGCTTCTGTTAGGGACCTGGGTTATAGCCATTCTTACTGGACATTACTGCCCGCTGTTGAGATTTTGTTCCTATAGAGTGGCCTGGGTTGATAAACACATTGTTACGTAAAATTAATTATCATGTAAGCCAAGGAGACTGCCCCAGGATAGCTCTTCCCGTCAGTGGCCTATCAGTTGATCATTACAGATACTGATAAACATGTCCTTGGGTGTTCCCCAAACATGACAGGATCTGTTTCTTTGCTCGCACTGTAGCTAAGAGGAATTCTTAGCAGTGAAAAGAAGAGACATCTTCAACAGGTGAAATACTGTGAAATAAAATTCTGCCATCTAAAAGGTTACAAGCTTGGAGTACATAGACATTTTCACTACTGAAAATGAAAGTGACATCTTTTGATTCTGTCCATTCACTATAAAATACTGAAAAAACAACGTTCTACAATGATGTAACATAAATATGTCACAAAGGAAAATGTAGGCTGTTTTAGGATGTGATTCTTCTCTCCTATTTTAGACCTTACAGTGACATGAATCATGATCTAGAAATGCCTGTTTTTCTTCACTGAATGTAAGGGGACCCTAAGATGGCTTAGAGACAGATATCAAAATTTTAGTCACAGAGGTACATGAGATGATTCCCATTCCTTTTATAATCATATTTAGACCAAAAATTTCTCAATCAATCACTGGCATCTGCCATTACTCTTCTTCATAACCACAGTAAAAACGACAGTCATTACAAGAAAAAAATCATCTTCCTCAATTGCTAAGTGAATATAAGAAATATCCTAAACATGCTCCCAAAATTGGCAAACTCCCCATACTTTTAACTTTGAGTTAAGGGACAAAGTTTTGGCAAAAATATTCCTGTTACCATCTGGTCAGATTTCATGATTTTTAGGCCATCTGTATTTGGCAAAAAGCTCAGATTCCAGTGCTGAGATCATGAAAGCTTCAGAATTTTAGCTCAAATTTTCTGAGCTTTTTTTTTTTTTTGAGGGTCAGGAGTCTTTGCAACAGACAGATGGGTGGCAGTCTCTATGATAGACAGAAACATTCCTGAATTCAGTCCACAATGAAAGGGAAGCTCTGTTACTGCTTGCTTGAGATACGCTATCATGTATTCAAGAACTAAAACATGCAAGTGATACTTTGAGCTACAGCAATTTCCAAGACTATTTTCAAGATACAGAGCACAGCTGTCAAATCTTCACTGAGGGAAATAAACCAGTTGRAAAGAGCAGACCTTGCTTCTGCTGTCAAAACCAACAAGGAGGGTCTACGAAACCTGTGGGCATGTAGAGCTGTGCTTATTTAGGAATAGCTCTGTAGTTTGGACAGTCTAGGTAGCCCTAATAATGGAACTCCAGGCATAGTCCTTTAGCCATGAACCTACAATGACTGAAAACAGAAGACTTTCACATGCTATATCTATTTCATCATTAGATCCCCATCTTACCTCTTGTACTAAATGAAATGGCTGGTAGAAAGATGGAGGTGCACAACAACAGAGATTCTGTATTCGGTTGCTTAACTAACCTTAACTCAATTGTTTTCATTTACTTAAATCCATTCTCCTACTTCAGCAGGCAGGACATGTCCTATCATTTACTTTCCCCCTCAGTGAGTGAAAGACTCAGTTCACATCCAGCTACAAAGTAGTTTAAATAAAGGCACTTTTCATTTGCAAGCATACATAATAAGTTAGTYTTTACCTGAGTCTTCCATCCTCTGCTGCAGCTCCTCCTGGTATAATCTTAGTAATAAATATCCCAGGATCATCCCCAATGTGTGGGTTATCTGTTCCTCCAGCAATGCTGAACCCCAGGCCAGAATTCCCCTGAAAAAAAAACCAAAAGAAAAAAAAAGTAGAAAATGTGTCACCAGATGCTACATTTCTCCAGACTTCAGCAGACATTCAGGAGCAAAGTATTCTTGCCTCTCAAGGAAAGCATTTTATTTGGCAACACCATACTTTCAGGTGTGTGAGTCAGCCAGAAAAAGAGCTGTCAGCTAAAAGAACACAGGCTGCAAACACGAGGAACTCCCAGARTTAATGGCAGAGTTAATGGATGCTCCTACAGAAATGGGATTTGACCTAAATTTAATTGTTTTCCAAGCGTTGCATAARTTAGCCACATGAACTCCAACATGAATTTATTCAAGTCAATGAGACCTAGAGGCTAAAACCACTTCAGAGCTTCTAAAAGGATTGGAAAAAAAACCCAAACCTTAATAAAAAAACTTAATATATAAATAAAAAGCAGTGAATAACTCTGAAGAATTTCAGTATACYGTTTATCTGTTGAAAAGTGAGCACTGTTCATTGGATGATCATTGCATGCTAGTATTTCTTTTATCTTACTATTTAGTTAGAATTAATTGGTTGGAAGATTTATTATGATTTATTATCTATTCAATAATCTTATTTATTATCAATACTACTTGTGACAATACTATGACAGAGACTCCCTTTCCATTTACATATACAAATAAAATGGTAAATTCAGTCACCATTCCTCACATATAATTCTAACCAGCAGTTCTACTGAAGCTTCTGAAAACAATAATAAAATTAATGAAATACTGCATTCTTTTAGTTTCTTTCATTACAAAATATTTTGAAATTACATATTGAGCCTTATCACTTCAGTATAAAGCTATTGCTGTTGAGTGCAGAATATGTCCATTGCTGTGGGTGAACTAGATTCAGTGTGATATTTTCTTTTCTGTTATTTTATTCGCCATTTCAGCTTATTGGGAGTTTTTCTGCACTGTCAGTTGTAGACAAGAATCTGCTTCAATTGTAGAGAAAAAATTGCTTAAAAAAAAAAAAAGCAGTATCTCTTTTTATTTTGTCAAATCTTTTTCAGAACTTTTGATAACTTTTTAACCTTTACTTGAATTGATATGTCAGGCACGAGATGCATTTTTTGTGTAGAAGCCTCCATGTTGCCTGTGTGCAATAAATCTAATTTCAAATGTTGTTATCAGGATTCTGCATTCACAAATGATGCACTTCTCACTACTGTAGCTCTGCTATCAGCATATAATTGTGATTAAATTTAAGAGAGAGGGCTAATTTATAATCCAAGGAGAAGGATTTAGGACTACATGTCTTCATGCTTCTTGACTAGCCGTAATATGAAAAACATTTTGACACTGAAACATTCTGTATATATTTTTCTGTGGAGTTAATACACTTCTTCAGGCTAGCATTATAAATTTATGATTTACTCTCCCTTTTATCTTTAGAATCATCTCAGACTCAGCTTATTTTCCCAATATTTTAAAACATGCCTTATTATATGATTCAGTCAACACCAACTTGCACTCTTTCCCGTAGCTTTTCCTATATGGAATATTATCACAGAATGATAGAATCACAGAATGGTTGAGGTTGGAAGGGACCGCTAGATCATCTAGTGAAACCTCCCTGCTCAAGCAGCGTCCCCTAGATATTCATATATTTTATATGATACTAAACTCCCAATATGTAAGAATGAAATAATGCATACTTATACATGTATCAGTAATCTTGTAGCAAAAGCCTTAAAACATTGTTAAAACATGAGCAAGCTTTTTAAAAAGTTTATTAGAATAATCAATACTTTATTTTAAGAAAAAAAAATAGACAAAGTTAGGGAAATTCTTATTTTTTTCCATAAAACCAAAAGGATTTTTTTTTAAACATGCATTAACCTGTGACTCTTGATGAAGACAGAGGAAGAGCAAGATGGCAAGGTGGTATCTGAGTGCARCTTAGAGTTAGGAAGCAGAACATAAAATCATATAATAAAAAAGTATGCTTGAATAACTTAAAAAACTATAAAAGCCTGCCTGTTTTGTTGAGTGTGCTTAGCTGTTACACTTCTTCACATAAAGCTCATTCAAATTCTTCACAGAAAAAAAAAATTGAGAAGTTTTCGCATCTTCAGTGTACTTCTGTACTCTTTTCCATTAACGTTTCAGAGTGAAAAATATAGCAATGCCCACAGTAAGCAGTGATGTGGCAAAACTGCAGGAGAATCAGTGCTAGTCCTTGACATTTATCCATAACTGCGCATCTGCTGTACTTCAAGACCATTCCGATTCTGCCCCTTAGGAAAAACCTTTTAAAAGAAAAGGCCAGCCTTCCTTACAAGCACTTTTGTATCCCCAAAATTTCAAGCAATTATTCTGGCTGCAGTCCTGGACTTGATCAACAGGATATGCAAGCTGTCACACAGGAGCTTGCTCAGCAGCTAGGTATATCCTTGCAAGGCTTTCTTACACCAGAAAGTTAGCTGCAAAATTTAAGTGCAATTCCACATTTTAGTTTCCTTGTGGTTCTTGAAATATCTGCATCGTTTACACAGAAAAAATCTTTTCTCTTTCCTTGTGGTCACTTCAGCTTATAGTTAACATGGTTGAAAATATCACTCCATCACATATGGGAAACTGGCCTCTTAACAGACATGGAGTGAGGTAAAGTGTAACAGGAAAATTGTGGCTAGAACCTTTGTATGAAGCTCTGAGCAGCAGTGCTGATATAGATATTTCTGTCCTTTTCCTCAAGCTTTGCCCCCTCTTTTTAGCATGCATGTTCATCAGCATGCTGTTATATCAAAAATTTATCCTAGTTATAATTTCCAATTAAATGCTGTCTGCTAACACTCTGCTTCCTGACTCTCTGCAAAGGTTAGCTTCCCACCCTCTACCTCCATCCCATAAAATTGTGTTAATCATCTACAGCTTCTAAGGCTTTTCTTGTCATATCCCATATGCCTTCATTCAGGCCAGAACAGCAGCTGAAGCATCACTCACTCACTGGATTTTCTAAAGTAGTGTATTCATAGTTTTCCTCATGCTGACTCTCATGTTTGGGAGTGGTACCTCATAAATACCTGTCAAGTTAATTCACTGTCCTTTTTCGAAGCCTTGCTCTTCTAGGATGCTTATGAAGCAAGTTAGCAATGAGCTCAGAGACCTGGTGACGATGCAGATATACGTTTAATAAGACCTACTAACAGCTGATACAGAAGAGGTGTAAAGCAGCAGATGTCTTCCTCCTAGGAGATATTCCATAGATATTACTTAATTGAGATTCACTTTTAAGCCTGAATATGCTTATCTGTTTCTTTTCTTTGGCAGAAGGGGTTAAGCCAAAAATCCCCGCAAAAAAAAAAAAAAAAATACAAATCCAAAAACCTAAAGATCAAAACCTCTGAAAAATTCTTGAACAAGCCTACAGATTTTGATGGTATTTTTTAAACACTATTATTTTTATGGTCATATATTTAAGGAGTCCAGACCCAAATCATTTTTATGTGCAATGTATATCAGCTCCATTCTCTCCTGACCTAAATAATGCTGCTGTTAACTATCCCTCTGTCCAAGCTCCCAGTTACTACTGCTGTAAAAATGTCATATAATTATTTTCTGATTATACTGGGAAGACTTGTATAAAATTTCTCATCTATAGATGCCTGATATTTATACATTTTTTTTTAAATTTGTAGTTTAATTTCTTGCTGTTTTCCCTCCCTTTTATTGCAAGGCTTCAAACATGGACATAACCCGACGAAAGGAGTGGCACAGTATTGCACATCCACTTTGGGCTAAAAAGAATTAGTATTGCCTCAGTGTATTCCATCTTGGATCTCTCAGGCTTCTCAGGGAATTTACCATCATGCTCAAGCTTTATTTTTCAAACACAGAAACTCAGGTCCAACAACTAAACCAAGATGGTTTCTACCAGGCTATTCTCAAAGGCCTTCTGGTTCTCAATTGAAATGGAAGGCCAGTCTTACGGTTTACTGCAGAAGTCTGACTCCTTTATGACTTTTTCAGGCACCTCCACAAGGATCACCTGAGCCTTTTAATGCTCAGTCTGAGAATGGAGGATACTTATCCGTAATTCTCCTGCTTCTAGAGCAGTAGATAACCTCAACTTTGACAGAGGCAYGATATCATTTCAGATGACTTGGGTTCTGTCTTCTGTGAACATTAAATACAACACCTAGGGTCAGGATAGAATAATAGATGATTCTCACACCAAGGAAAGAGAAGAAAACTTGCAAGTTCTGACCCCTTTGAGTCTGTTCCCTCTTATTATACTACCAACATAAATATCACAGAAATAAAGCCAGAGTTCCCAGAAGGCAATGGCCTTAAGTAGCCAGAAGACCTGGAGACCCATCCTTCTTCTTACATAGCCTTTCCTCTTGTGTTTCTTTTCTTTTATACACCATTATAAGCAGCTATGTGTGAGGTTGCATTTTTACAGGTTGCAGAATCTTTATATTGTCACAACTCAAAAGTGCCCAACACCAACTTCTTGTTGAAATAGAGTTAGCCAAAACCGAACACTTGCAAAGTTATTTTCCCTTGACAGTACAGCTCTCCATGGATGACAATTCTCCATATGCTTCTACAGATGATTTCCTCCTTAATTTGTTTCATTTTGTTCTGTTTTCTGCTTGAAAGTTGCCTTAGAAGCAGGGCTTGATTAGGAACAGTCCAAAGTCATTCAGGCTTCTGCAAAATTGCAGAAGAATAAACACAAGAAGTAGAAAGCAGATCAGAAATACATATGAAGAGCAGACCAAGACCATCTCTCCTGCATAAGGGACAAGTGGTTTGTATCTTACCATACTAAATAGGTATGCACCATCATATTGAAATTGTGTTTTTTGTTTTCTTTTTTTTTTAATCCGTTCAAATCAGTAAGGTGACAGAGCTCAATATTTGACACATGACCTTTACAGAATTTAAGGAAGTACTAGTTGCAATCCCTCTTTGTCATGGCAACATCCTAGGAAACATCAGTCACTGGGTCTATTAGCCAGCAAAAAGGCC